GGAATCGTATAATTTTTATTGAACCAATTGATACATCTTGATATTTTCTAAAAAAAAAAAAAAAAAATTAACCTATTATCTACGGTGATAAAAATCAAGATGATCACCCTGTATACCTTGTCTTTTACTCGGGCGCGAAATTAGCGATCGCAATTAGTCGCGGCTCGTGGAGCGTGGCTGGCAACCGAGCACGAGCTTTCTTCCGTTGTTTTCTGCGATCTAGCCGCGGGCTCGTGCAGCCAGATTGTTTCCCTCGCTTCTGTTCCCTTCCATTGTCCCCTTTCTTCGTGGTTTTCCTCTTTCCTTCTTTCCTTCCGCCTCTTGTGCTCCAGTTTTTTCTCTCCTCCTTCTTTTTTTCTCCTTTCTTTTCTTAATTTTACCCTTTGCTGAAGTGCGCGCGGAGTATAGATGGAACTCGCGAAGAAGAAAAGATAAAATTGGAGTATTCGAGACTTTCTTTCTATTACTGTGTTCATTCTGTTCAGTTCTGTGTGAGATTATTCCAAATTGCATTTGCATTCGAGAATGTCTCTTTAGCTTTTATCCTGGATCGTGGATTCTTTTAATATCTGGAGAATAATATATATCGAAGAAAATTATTTTTGTATTACGATGTGTTTAATATGAATGTTCACACCGACTAGACAATGTATACGTCTATAATTCTAGAATAATATTGATTATGAATGTATAAATATGATTATTATTCCTACCAAATGTATTTATCCACTAGCTAATTATCATCCATATATACATATCACATCTATCCATTGAATCAATACATTTATTTTATCATATACAACAGTATTAACATCAATATATCGATGGATTGTTGTATACAAATATTGTATGTCCACCTTTATCATTTTCGAGAAAAACAGATTTAAAGATTCTATCAAAGATTAACAATTTAATTTTTTTAATATTAAAATTAATATAAAATATTCTCCCCCAAAAAATGAATAATAAACAACACGTGAGTCTGCGTATTCTCGCTAATTTCACTTCCAAAGTAGAATCAATATTTCATATATCAGACCATCTTGGTTACTCTGAAAAGTAAACGCACCCTTCGCAGTCAGATCTTAACCAATCATAACGTCACACAAAACTCATCTCGATGGCTCGATGGAAACGTCACGATCCACCCTTCCTCCGATCCAATCGTATATCGTATTCTTTCCTCCTCGTTTCTCCTTTGTTTCACTCCTCTCCTCCCCCATTCGTATCACCCCCATTGTTCCGTGCCATTCTTCTCCACCCCTCCGCCACTTTCTCTTTCGTTCCTCCCGACCCTTGGACGGGTCACGCGCGCGTATTCCTCTCGAGGGTGACATAAACCCCCTTACAAATCGCTGCGTGTGTTTACGTTAAATCGCTTAAGAGGCGCGTAAAAGCGCGGAATGGCCAGCGGAGAACCATCGATGTAAGTCGAGCCTCGATAGGCTCGATACATTCGGTTCGAGCGTGTACGAGCGTTTATCTGGATTAGGAGGACCTTGCGTCTCGTCTCGAATGCCGTCGTGCACCCCTTGCACGGGCCACTCGTGTACTTGGAACGTTCGCTAATCTGCAATACGGGGGTGGCATTAATCGCAGCGGAACTGCGGGATGTGATTAAATGGAGATTGTTCGAAGTTGTTGCTGCGATTTGAGGGGAGAATTGGATAAGTTATGAGATGTGGAATGTTAACCACGGTAGCCTTGATGGAAATAAGTCGTCGGATATTTGGTAATTGTGGTAAATTTGGAGTAGGATGTAATTCTGTTACGGGATAAGATTGGTATTTATTCGTTTGTAGTTTTGCAAGGCCTTATTGCGATCAATTTTTTGTTTAAAATCAGTGGCCGTTTGTATTGGTGTTATATAATCTCTTTTGAGATTTCTTTGTATCAGAAGTCTTGATAAATTTTTATTTAAAAAATATTCGAATAATATTGGTACTTTTTAATTAGTAAAAATATTTTTTGGCTCGTAGAAATTGATGCAATTTTATCAATTTTTTTGTTCATAGTTTAAGTGATAATTATGAATATATTGTCGTTTAAAGAAAAATACAAAAAAGAAAATTAAAACGTAGTAAGCAAAAATGCTTAATCATTCTTTATATTATGCATAATCTTAAGTTAAGTAAAATTATTTCATGAAAATAAATAATATTCGTCATAAAAGAATTGAAATATCGTATATATGTGATACATGATGTCCAGTGATTCACAGCAAAGTGGAAATGATGATGTCAGAGTGATTTTATTACATTCCTCACTTTTAACTCATTTTCCTCCGCTTCCCCTTTGAGTAATTCTGTCGCAGAGTGAGTTTTCTCGGAATTGAGTTTGGAAGTCGGGAATGGCTTGCATTAATTTGCGGTTCTTTGATGGAACCTTGTCCAGGAAGCTACTCCGTTAGCAAAAGTCCATGTAAAAAGATTGACGAGACAGAAAATTCGACTTTAAGTCAATCTTATATATCATTTGTGAAACAGAGCAATACGCGATAAATTCCAAAAATATTCATAACTCCTTTTTTACAGTATAAAATTCTTGTCTTCTCTTGTTCTCTTGTTCAATAGTCTTCTAGGAATAGTAAATTCTAAGAATAGTAAGTCTTTTTATTCATGGTAGTTCAAAGAGCATCTCGATATTGATCTACATTTTCGTTGAAATTTAATGATATATTGAAAACAGATCCATGATATTTTATTTTTTTGTATCATTATTTTGTTTATTTTATCAATAGTATCCTATTGTAGAAAAGAATATGATAAAATTTCCTTCAATTTATCCTCCTTTGAATTTATGAATTCGAGATTTATTTCATTTTTTAAATATGATAATGAATATTTTGTAGATATTTCGAATTTCTTTCATTATTATATCACATGTTAAAAAAGATCTCAATTCCAATTCTGAAAACATCTATCACTTCTCTTTTAAATTTTTTTCAATTTCAATTTCAATAACTCGAAGTATCTCTCAAGCCATGAATTCAATCATCGTTTTACGTTAGTAATCCCTCGAGAGTAACAAGTAACCTGAACCAAGATATCCTCGTCAACGATCACGTCGACAAAAGTTAATCTGGCGGATGGAACGGAAACAGATCCCCAGGAACGCGATTTATTTACATCGAGGCGAATATCGGTTTCTTAGAGGCATAACCAACCGATTCGAAAGCTAGTTTACCGTTACACGGCCACCCTTCCTTGGAAAGGGATGTCGCGAGGCATCGACAACGCTTCTAACCTCGTTCCTGTGGTTGGATCCGATTTCACGTTCGAGCGGATTGGCCGGGGATCGACCCATAGGAAATCCCATACGTTCCCGCGAGGATCCTCTTCAACGATGATCAACTTCTTCGTGCAACATGACCGTACTCCACAATGATATTCATTCGATCCTCGTCGACCTGGTCACCTGCCGCACGAAGCCGTGGTAACAATGATCTCGTTATCGACCAAGGGATGGAGAATTGGATCCTTTGTGGCGTTAATTTAGGTTTGATAATTTTAACGAGAGAAGATATGAGTGTTCATTGCGGGCCACGAGAGGGCAGAGACTTTTTTTAGGGAAAGGAATATCATTTCTTTTTTTAAATATCCTACAGATCCAGTTTTTTATCTGGAATTAAACTCTGATCGATTAAAAGACTAAAAGAAAATATTACTCGTAATAAATGAGATTTTAAATTTACATCAAGTCACTTTTCTTGAACATTGATTTTTCGAATTTTTAAACTCTTTTTCTAATATCAATTTTACATCAAGTTTTCCTTTCTTATTAAGAAATCTTCGTTCTAGCTTATATCCTTTGTATCCTTATTCAATAGAAAAAGATTTTATATCTCATAATCTCTTTCAATCTCTTGAATCTTCGTCAAACATTACTTTTTTGTCTCCATTTTATCCTTTTGCATTTATATATAATAGAATCTACAAATACAATAATAATCTTTCCAAATTCCAAAACGCAATTTCAACTCGTTCCTTTCGAAATTATCTCTAATAAACCTCACCCTCTTAGAATACCATAAAACCTTGCTAAATCACCAATCTCAAACACAACTTTACGCATCTCTCCAACAATCTCCCCCTCCAACTTCTTCAATCCTCGACAAAACCTCATCTTCGGTTCATTTCATTCCAAATTATCCCCACCCTCTCGAAACTTTGCATTGAAACAAAAACCTTAAAAACCCCCACCTTTAAATCACTTATATCACGTATCTCTCGCAACCCCCTCCAACCCCCCGTCAACCTTGGTTCATTTGATTCCAAATACATAATCCCCGCCTCATCCTTCCACAACTTTATTGGAATCTTGCCCACGTGGCGTTTGACTTCGAATTACCCCCTCCCCCTCTGTCCACCCTCATTCACGTCCACAGCGCAGGAAATAAAGATAAACAAGTGGACGGAGGGAGTGGAAGTGGCACACGCGGAGGAGAGCGGCCACGCGTCTGATCTCGCCGCGGCGGAAGGAGGTTTTCCGCGGAAAGAAGGCGCAGCCTCCGGCATCCTCTCCAAACCGTGGCACCACCACCTCTCTGGCAACGGCGTCGCCACCACCACCCCCGACGACAAGGGGATGAAGAAGAGCGACGCTATCGAAGCGAGACGTGTATATATGTATATATATATATATATAGAGGTGCGCGCACGTCGGCAAGTTCAGTCGTCTACCGCGTGCCGAGCGGCGAGGATCGTGCGCTGCCAACCCTCCATTTGCGAATTTCACCCCCGTGGAAACCCACCGTTTCCTCCGCTCGACGATCGCGCGCGCACCGGGGGTCTTCCCGGTCACGTGTCCCCTCTCGTCTTGCTCGCGCTTACGCGGCACGCTCGAACGGAAGCGCACCCGACCGTACCGCGCGCGGACTCGTCATGTAATTTGAAATTGCGAGCAGCAATTAACGCCTCCTTTTCCCTTGGTTTGCTTACTTTTTTCTCTATTTTCTATTTTTCTAATTTTCGAAGAAATAATTTTGATTTTTCAAACATTGGTTTGGTTTTTTGTATCGGGATATTTCCTGTTTTCTTTCTTTCCTCTTCAAGAAGAAATGTGAAGAGTTGGTTCGAAGTTGGTTTGATCATAGTTTAGAGGTTGAAGATGGACAACGGGTGAAATTTTAAGCAAGATTGTGCGAATTGAATGATTAAGATTTAAGGTGGTTGAGGGATACGATTCAGTGAGATGTGAGCCGAGGATGGAGCTGAAGATCAGCATACTGCTTCTGACGCTTCTACGCCTCGCCAGCACCCTCGAGAGTAAGGATGATTTATCTTTACACGCGGCTTATGGTTTGTAGTAGACGGTGTCTGGCCTGGCTTTAACCATAAATTTTTGGATCCTTGCGAGTTCTTCTGGTAAATAGTGATTCAACGGTTTGAAGTTTGCAATTTGGAAACCTCGTATCAAACACGATTTCTTCCTCCCGCATACATACATTATACAAGAGTTTGATCTCAATTGTTACGAAGTTGTTGGTGTTTGCTGTTGGTATAGAGAACTTTTGCCGCGTTTGCATTGCTGTTCCGTGAAAACTTTCCTTATCACGATACGTCTTGAACTGGTTAGGAAAACCAGATCCAAAACTTTTCCAATTATTAATAAAGTTTTGTAAACTTATTGAGCTTCCTCTTTAAAATTCCTTTTATAAATGATTTTCGCAATTAACTCGACGAGAAAAAGAAACGATAGAAATGTGTGGTCCAAAAAAATATAATAAAAGTTCCATTGTATTTGAATCCACCATCGAACGAGCACGAAGATTAACACGTAACCAAAAAACTGAACAGAATGCAAATTAACCTACCCGTTGATTCTACGGCGTCCGCGACACCGGAGGCAATTAATCATATCCCGGAAAGAGGATCGCGAAAATACGCTGCGAGTGAATTAATTCCCAAATTTTCGTATCCTATAGGAAACCTCGAAAAAAAAAACAGCAAAACAATTTCACAACGATAATTTATACAATCACAAAAAACGCAAAAATCGAATCGACATCGATATGATAAAACTTAACAAAAAAAACCTCGCTCAAAAAATTCAATCTCATCTCTGGATAAAAATAAATTCTAAGAAACGAATTAAACGTTTAGCATTATTCCAAAAAAAAAAATTAATTCATAAATTTTCGTATCTCGGCAAAACGACGAAACAATCTATATCTAAGTCTATAGAATTGGACTTCTATTTAAAGAGAGAAAAATTCGAACATTCCGATTAATTATTTAAAAAAAGAGTCTCAAAAAGAGGATCGTAAAAATTCAAATAAATCGATTCTCAAATTCCTCCATAAGAACCTCGACAAAGCAACAATTTCTCCACGATAATATATTACTCGATGTTGGGCCACGAAAAATTGACCAAGAGTCGTATAAAACCCGAAATCGTGCTGTGTGATGTGAGCTAAAACTTAACAACTCCTGTGAAAACTTTACGCTTACGAGAACGTCGCGTTAGAACACATCCAACCCAAACATCCCCCATTCGAAAGAGATATATTCGCAGTGGCGAATTTACTCGTGCTAACGTTGATATTCTACAAAGCCCGGGGCTCGGGATCGTGACATGTTTTCCCGCGAGCGTGACAACGGGGGTAATCGTCTCTCGGTTTACTGCTTCAAGTCAAACAAGCAGTCGCGATCGCCTAGCCGTGCCGGGTAATAAAGTTTCAGGGCTGGACTTGGCGTGCAACGTGGATAAAAGAGGAATGTAAACGTAAAAGACTAAAAGATATACCCTAAGCGAGTGGATCGCGCTGACTGATACACGACGTAAAATCCCGTGCGCATCGTTAAACCGGGCTTTACCGTTTCCATCGCGCGACGTCTAAATTTACCGTGGCCGGTGTCGCGATGTTGGCAGAAACATTCGATCGAGTTTGCGTATCAAGCGTGCGTAGTTTGGCCTGTTAGAGGATGAAGATGATCGGGATGGAGCGGATCTCCATTGGATGGCTCGTTGAATTAACTCTTTACGAGTTATTTTATATGTACGAGTATCAGTCACGATGTTCGATCTTTATCGAGTGTTTAAGTGTTGGAAAGTGGAAATGGATGCACGCTCTGGAATTCGAGAGAAGGAGGATTAAGGGAAAATTATAATCTATAAATATTATAAAATAAAATTATAACAATTATATATTTTTATTCGAAAATTAAATAATAATTATTAGAAGATGTGAAGTAAAATTTGTATAGTAAAGAAATTTTATTATAGTATAAGTTCGTATTTTTCTTTGAAAATTATTAGCTAGTAATTATTGTACATATACGATTTGATTGCTTGGAAATTTATAAAAAAAACCTATACAATTAAAAAATCACGAGAAATCTGAAAAGAAATAAGGATTAGAAAAATTCTAACTTAACATTTTATCTTGTTAGTTTATAAAAAGAAATACCAGTTAATCCATAAATGTTTTCACCTTCGACCATGAAAATAACATAAAATTAGAACGATTCTCTTCTTTACACACTCTGCGCCTACCCTATTCTCTTTCAACCTTCATTTTTCCCCCGCATTTAATGCGCCCGAAGTTACGCACGTTGATCATTTATTCATAGTTCGCGGGAACTTCCCTCGAGCTCCTATAATTGGATTAATCATTCAAACCCCACTTTCGCCAACTTTTATCGTTTCGTTCATTCAATAAAACTCTTTCTAAAGATCTTTCGCTCGATATTTGAGGGAACTACCCGCGGTGTTCAAAAATCTCACCCTTTATTTCCAGACACGAAGGAGGAGGAGGACGCGGAGGAGGATGATGAGGATAATTATCCCGTGGACGATTATGACTACGGTGACTACGAGAGCGCGACGATAACCAGCGATATCGATCTTATCGCCGGTGGCTCGTTGCCGATCTTCCTGGCCGAGCCTGTTGACACGTTCGTGGTGAAGGGGAAACCTGCAACCCTTCATTGCCGCGCGGCTCATGCTCTTCAGGTAATAAACGCGAAACAGATCTCAAAACTCAATATAGATTTGAAAAATAAAATTTTGATATAATTGTCATATTGTATTGCAATAGATATGCAATGATTTTATTTTTAATTTTTTAAATGCTGAAATGTATGCATGCGATCGTTTCTTTTTTTAAATAGTATAATAACGCAATTAATTTCAATATAGTAAATATTAATCTTCTTATTATTTTATATAATGTTATGAACAAAAGATTCATACAAAAATTATTTGGAAGATGTATTATAGCTGTTTATAAATAAAAGTTATAGAAAGGTTAATTTTGATTCCTTGAATTGTACTAACGGATGCAGCTTCTTATTTCCTGCAAAAAATATTATTATATCAGAAAATGATCGATTTAAGAGATATTGTAAATTGAATTTTACAGAATTTATTATTAATTCTATAAAAATTTTAATAGTACAATATCATTTCGCATGTTTTTCTTTCATACAATAATTTCAAGTTCCAATGTCTTCCAAATTAATGATTTTTCGATAGAAGATAACGAGCTGCAATTAAATTAAATTAGATAAGATTAGTTAAGTGATTTCACGTATCCATCTTCAAAAAACGTAAACGATAAATTTTCGCATGATAGACGAAAATATAACTAGCATTAGCCTGAAATATGCTTCCTTCCCGACGCGTACATATCCGATTCATACAAAAAAGTTTCATCTCTGTACAAACGCCGCTTGAAATCTCACTTTAATGAACCTCACCAACTTCAAAGAACTTGGAAACACCACTTCGCATGTCCCAATTTTCCTGAAAATTCAAAATTGCAGCGGTTCATCGGGCAACAACCTCTACAACGAAATAACCTACTAAGATCTCGTTAGAACTCCGTACTCTATGAAACAATAGAATTCGTTAGATAGAACGTTAGAAATGGTGCAACAAAGGGTCAAATAGGCGTCACTTTTCACCGAGAGAGAGAGAGAGAGAGAGAGAGAGAGGATACCTTTTTGGGTTCCACGTTTCATACTTTCGTGAGGCAAGTCTAGCCATCTAAGTCGTCTCTGGTCGTTTCCCTTCGTCATTTTCCTCTCCACCCTTATTAACCACTCGAGAGCTCCGCCACGACGTGGACAGCCGTGGCCTCCCCCTGCCCTTTTCACGCGCCGCCAATTACCAGCCATCTTATTCCGCTGCATTGCAGGTGTATTTTCGCTGTAACGGTGACCGGGCTGAACGGTCGCAGCACCAGGATTTTGTCGACCCTCGTACCGGAACAAGGGTCGTCGAGGTCGAGTTGAACGTGACGAGGAATGAGGTCGAGGAGTACTTCGGTAGGGAGAGGTTCAAGTGCGAGTGCGTGGCATGGTCGGGACCAGGTCAGATTCGAGGGCAGCCTGCCACGGTTGAGGTCGCTTGTAAGTAGAGAACACTCCAATCTATCCGTTCGTGTCCTCCCTCTTTTTTCCTCTTCGAGCTTCCCTTCGAGCTTGATAGGAGATCGTCCCTTTTCGTATTTTACCATTTTTGATACACGACCGTTGCGAAAGGATCCTCGAAATCGCATTTTCGGGGACTTGATTTAAAACAAAAATACAAAGTTACGAAGATTATGTCGGTTTTCTGTTTGTATGTTAGAGAAGAATAAGTTTTTCTGATCCCTTTTTAAAGAACTCTTTATAAGATGCAATCCTCTTTTATCCCTCTTGATTATTCCGAATATTAAAGATTTGTGAAAGTAAAGATAAAGATTAAGCTCTCGCTCTTCAGAGACGTTATTAAGACATCAAAGGCAACTTTACGATATTTTCAAAACATTGTGATTGTCAAGTAAAATAAAATATTATCAGTGTTTCGAGTTGTTTGCTTTTATTAGTAAAAGTTTTTGTAATGAAAAGTTTCTGAACAGATTAAACGTTCGTGAAAATAAAGATATCATTTCATTATATTAGTATTTTTATTAATAAAAAAATTTAATCGTGATTTTATGAGATTGCTGGAATAATATTTTAAATATTATATACAATAGCAATTTTATATTTACAATTGTTTTACGATACGATAAGAAAAAACCTCAATGTCAAATTAAATTAAATATTTCAGATAAAAAAAAATTCTAACTGAAAGGAATAAAATAATTCTTTAATTTTTTATAATATAATAAATTCATCCTACCCCAACTCGTTCCTTTCCACGATTTCCCCCACGATAGTGTTCTATATATTTCATCATGAACAGATTACCAACTACCATAGAGAAAAATTAATCGAACAGAACCTCCCCTCCGATCAACCTATCCAAATCAAATTTTCATCCCAAGAATAATCCCTAAATAAAAACTACGTTCCCTTTATTACCAAATTAAAACCTTCGAATATAGTTCCTTAAAAAAAAAAAAAAAAAAAAAAAAAAGGAAAAAAAAATTCCTATTAAACTTTTATCGCCTCACCAGGTTGCTCCATTAAAGACAGGATGTTACGATGTAATTAAAACGGACGATTCGTCGACTAATAGTCTTCATAATTCCAATGGTGCAATGAGAGAAGGGCGAAAGAGAGAGAGAAAGAGAAAGAAAAAAAGAAAGAAAGAAAAAGAGAATGAAAAAAATATAAAAGTGAAGGGAAAGCGGGTGGGAACGAATTAACGCGCAATTGTAGCATGTATTCGAGCGAGCTGTGAAAGGGAAGGGAGGAGGGGAGGGGAGGGTTTAGCTTGAGCGGCAGAGTCGGACAGAGAAAATGGCCGGGAGCAACTAGCACCTGGAATCGGTCATAAAACGTAACTTCATTAACCCGATTAGCACAGAGCCGGCTCTGGAACAGGGGTTTTCGAGATACCCGCCGCGAAATTCACTCCGGTAAGCTTGGCTGTCGGCGAGGGTTAGCTTGGTTGCGGCGCGAGGGATGCCGCGCTCGCTTGTTTTCACCGGATATCTCGTGACGCGTAAACCCGAGTTCCAAAATCTAATCGATATTCTATTGCAAAGCAAACACCTGTGAATACAGAATCGGTGAGCTACCACCCTTCCGACCATCGTTCGTTCGATTTTCTTTCTTTCTTCTTTTTTTTTTTATTTTTATGCGAAGGGGGATGTCGATGTATTGTTGTCATGCAAATTGGAACGGTAACCTGTGAATCGAGATGGCGAGAGTTGCATGACAATGCGAGCCGATCCGCGACTTTTGAGACTAATTGTGGGTGTCTGGCGGTTTGATGGGAGGAGGAGCTAGAAAGAATTTGAAAAAGATTGTGAATAGAGTTCGAAATATTAGGGATTTGAACGAAAAATATTAGATCGATTTTAAAATATTTTTTTGTTTAAATAAATGTATTAATTAATATAATAATATAATTGAAGAAATAAAATATTGACGAATTAAAATGAAGAATTAATTAATACGGAAATAATTTTTTCAAAGAAAATTTATCATTTAATTATTATGTAAAATAATAATAATTATGAAATAATAATATTACTTAATAATTCATTTAATATACATTGAAAATTCTTTTTAATCTCTAATGGCTAAAATAAAAATGATTTTAAATAAACTATAAACTATTTCTTTTTCTATAATAAGATTGAAATTTTTAATTTTATAAAAAATTAAATTATATTATTATATAAATTATAATAGTATTTAATAATTCACATAATATTCATAAATATAAATAGTTATATACCGGTTTAACATTAAACATTTAACATTAAACTAAAATTTTAATTCTTCTTTACATTATATGATACTATTAATAAAGGAACACTATTCAAATTAATAATAAAATTACAAAATTTCATTATCAGTGAATTCAGTGTTCCTTAATAAAATAAATCATTCACTAAAATCAAAATCAAAATGGTAACCAATGGTCGTATGTATTCTCAAAAACACTCTTTAATCTCTCTTCTTCCTTACTTCTCCTTTCATAGTTCTATTTCTACTCCATTGCGGATCGACGAAATCGAAAAGACCATTTCCACAAAAATAGGTGAAAGTTCAAGAGTCGAAAGAGCAATTTTCTCTCAAACGTGGGGCGCAAATACACAGGAGACAAACAGGACATAGAATTAAATCCGTATTTGCTAGCAAACAGGAAACGGACGTGCTTTCGAAATTGAATACGTGGCGTATATATCGATCGTGGTGATGTTTCGTAGTCGGATACGGTGCTATTCTGCACAATCCACTTGAGAAAACCGGCTGGTTTAATTAATAATATGACGGTAATTTTATTGGAGCGATGATTCGCCCTAAGAACACAGCTTTATTGTTAGAATTGGAGCAAACCGCGATGATAACACGCGAACGTGATTTCTAAGAATATTGAACGGAAATTTTGAAAACAAAAATATTAGAACCAATTGTCTAGATTGATGTAAAACAAAGAAATTCCTTTAACGCTTTCAAGGTTTCAAGTTTTTCTAAAATTTAACACTCCAATATTTATATATTTTAAACATGTTAGAAATACGTAAAAATTAATATTGAAAAATTTTATTAAATACTTTTCAATATTAATATATTTGAGATCATCGATGTTATAGATGTATGTTATAGATTTGCTATTCATAAACTTTTCTAAAAAGTGTGAAATGTAAGAAAAAGTTTTCTATATATCCATTTTCTTTTCACAAGTACAAGTATCATTCTCGGTACATTTTGAAATTTTTTGCATTTTTTGTTATTTTACAACTTTATTTTTTATATTCGTCGAATATTTATTATCCTCAGCGAAAATCCACTTTGATTTTTGCTACAATCTTGAATATAATAAGTAATATGTATTAAAATAATTTTAATAATAATAATAATAATTTAATGGAAAGATTTCACGAGACACATTACGAAAAATGAAATAAGACACATAGTTGAAACATTTCGTAAAAATTAATCGATATAAAAACTGGTAATACTCAATACTTTTAAATTATTCTAATAACTTCGAGATATTTTAAAAAAAAACTGGCAATCTACATACCTGATCGATCTCATATCTAATCTAATCGATTTCATCCTTCCCATTCACGTATTAAAAACACATCTCTGATAACAGCACAGCATCGAGGTGGTCTAGACAGCGGGGCAAGAATGTTACAGAGTGGATCAGGGGAGAGTACTCGACGCCATTTTACTTTACTTACACCGTTCCCTTCACAAATGATATATAAAAGCGGCTATTTTCCCGCGTATTTTTCCGCTACACACCGAATAATATGACGTTGGCTGGCGCACGAATGCAGCAGCAACCCTCGACAGCCTCGCGGATCGAGCGAAATCTTTTTCTGCCTTCCCTGACCAGTGTGCTCTGCTCGAATGCAGAGCATAGAGACGCGGCCTATAAAAGCACCCCTGCATTTATACACGCGGCCTAATATCGCTGAGTGCCCTGCTCCCTCGCTGCTATCTCCCTCCCCCACGCCCCTCCCCTGTCTCGTCGACCTCTCGTGCCTCGTGTTTCCCCGGTTGAATATTAAAAAAAAGCCTACCACCGGCCCTCGCCTGGTGGTCCTCGTGCACAGACCTGAAGAAGCACTTCCTGTCGCCGCCGTACTCGTTGTCCGTGGAGGCTGGACGGAACGCGGAACTCCGCTGCACCCCGCCACTAGGGGTGCCCCAACCGAAGGTCTACTGGCTGAAGAACGGCTCGCCTCTCGAGACGATCGCCGGCTCGACACCGGCTTCCTCCGACAGCATACCGAACGACGTGACAGGGGCCAGCAACTTCGTACAGACCGGCGATGGACACCTGATACTGGGAAAGGCAGAGCTGAGGCATCAGGGGAATTACTCGTGCGTCGCTGAGAACATCGCCGCGAGGCGGGTCAGTGAACCGGCCGTGTTGACGGTTTACGGTGAGACTTTTGCGGATTCCGTGGGATTCTGATGAATATCGCATCGAATCTGAACGTAATTAGATACGATGATCGTGTATCGAGAGATAATTAAGGATACGGAGAGAAGGTGTAGACAATGAGGGGATTGGAAAAATATTGCGTGAGAAATTGCATAATTTAATGGGTGGAGTTCTTGGTAGGGAACCGGTGATAATTGTTGTTTTCGAAGGAGTTTAATGAGATTCGGGTTTAATTTAGCTCATTTTTGTCGAAACGTTTTCTATTTGTTTTTCTAATTGCGTTCCGCTTATTGTTGGTTTGAGAACTTTTTAATCGTAAATTGTATCTGGCATCATGGCGAGAAAAGTGAGCGGTACTATCACGCATCGTTAACCCTTTCGCTACGGTGGAACTGGTAGTCAATACGCTACTGTTGAACAAGTCTTGGTAGTATGTTAATCACGGTGGGTAGCTATGTTTTGAGTCAGCTTTATCTTGCATCTACAAGTACTTGTATTACTATCTTTGAAACGATGGAATGATAATAGTTATATCTACTACAAAACTATCATTCATGTTCGTATGAATTTAATTTTATATCTCCGTCTATCCTTTAAAAAAAATTACTTCTTTCTTCAAAAAAAATGTTTTTCTTATCCCTATTAAGAGCGAAAGGGTTCAAATGCTTCAAATTATCACGTTGTTGTATCATTTTTCTCGTCAACTACGATACTTAATCCGTCCAATAATATTCCATCCGATTTGGATTCGTTCCCAAAGTGAACGGCGGATGGTCTTCCTGGTCCGGATGGTCGGACTGCAGCACCCGTTGCGGCCGAGGTGTACAAAAGAGGACGCGAACGTGTACGAATCCCGTGGCCATGAATGGGGGTCAAGCTTGTCCGGGTCCAGCCACACAGAGGGTCGAGTGCAATCCTTCCTGTCCCGGTAAGCCAGACAGTACCAGCCAATTACAAAACAATTACAACGATACAGCACAATGGCTGGTATAGCTGTTACCCTTTCTCGAGCTCAAAACAGTCTTGTTCCCTGTCCCATCGACGAAACGATCAAAGACGAGGCATCCTCCAGACACTGAACACAACAACGAGATGTAATCGTTCCACCGTGGCCGGGGATACATCTCTGATAAGACGAGATTTAATCGGGATTTTCAAGTTCGCCCGTTGCCTTTCAGCGGTCGACGGCAGATGGTCAAGCTGGTCCTCCTGGTCCGCATGCGGTCCCGATTGTTCCAGAATAAGAAGAAGATCCTGCAACGACCCCCCGGCGAGCAATGGTGGCCGTCCCTGTCAAGGCAAGGACGTCATCGTCGAGTCTTGTTCCGCGGATCGATGTAATGGTGAGCCCCAGCTGCGTTCTTGCCTCCTTTTCCCTCTCTTTCCCCCTTTCTTTTTCTTTCGACTTTCTTTTTATCTCACCGTGACCGGGGCCCAGAGGCGGACAATTTATTACGAGCGAACGGGCTTCTCTTGTCCCGGGCGTCGCATCCGATCATCGTCGTTCGCGGTCGCATGCTTGAGATACGATTTAAATTAATAATGACTCGCAGAAAGGCCTCCTCGATCCTTTACCCGTTGCTTCGTAACCTTCCTCGATTAACCGGTCATTGGACGCGGCAAATATTCCCATTGTTCAATGACAGACGTAACATCGCAGGGAGAGATTCGATTAAATTTTCGATGTATGGGTCGTTGAATTTAAACGCGACGAATATAATAGGATGATACGTCAGCGGATCGACTTGTTCTGCTCGATTTGTTAGCAAGTTTGATCTGTTGTCGCGAATCAGACGGTAAAAATCTCATAAAGTAAATCGTCTTTCTTCGTCCTCGTACCCACGTAGCTCTCGGACAGGATGGACCCAGAGTCTTCAAGGAAGGTAATTGCCACTGCGAAGAACTGTTCCAACGGTTAGAAAGTTAGTTTGAAAGCTGTCGTTTCTGCAGCAACCAGGGCGATCGATCACAGGAACATATTGGCCCTTTGGATCACTCTGAGCCTGGCGGCGATCATTCTGGCGCTGACCACCATCTTCTTCGTTCGATTGATGCGTCGGAAGGAAAGGATGGAGGCTTTGTACGGTGTGGCCAGGTTGGACTTCCGTCGTCCGGGCGATCTCGCGAAATCCGTGGTGTCGAAGAACGATCGCACGGTTATCTCGGTGGACAGGCGGTTGGAGCAGGTGATAGACGAGTCGAACGCGTCTAGGATGTCTAGGTAAACGACCCTCGAGGAATTAAACCCCGTTCGATCCTTGCCCCCCGTTGAAAGTCTCTCTGACGATACGCAGATCTTGCTCGGAGCATCACTACGACGTGCCACAGCTCTCGCTGCCCTCGACCACCAGGCCATCGCCCAGCTCCTCCGTGACCAGATCTTCCTGCAAGAACTCGCAGCGTGGTAGAGGCTTATCGGATAACGAGGAGGGCCGATCATCTCGTAAGAAACAAGTACCATCAACTCGAACACGGCGATCAGACAACGGGTATAGTGACCAGTCTTGGTAACATCTGGTCCTTAGGTTCCACCTGCCAGGCGAATCAGGAAAGCACCAACGAGGACGACGACGAGCACGATGACGAAGATAGAAATGGAGAGGACGACAGGAATCACGAGGATTCTAGTGGGTTCATTGTAAGAGCGATGGTGGACGAGCAAGGTGCGCTTTTGGTGGTTCCAGAAGTTGGAGTCTCGATGTCTATACCCGAAGGAGCTATCTCCCGTGGAAGAAGACACGGTTTACATTTGGCCGTCCTTGGGGACGACTCTCTAAGACCTAGTTTACCGCCCAGTCTGACTCTGTTGTCAGCCGTAGTGGCTTGTGGCCCGAGTGGAATAGATCTGGTGAAGCCAGTGATCTTGCAATTCGAGCATTGTGCTGAACTCAGGACTGGTAACTGGGAACTGAGCCTCTGGTCGACCGACCTCGATCTCGAGACTCGATCCAACAACTCGAGCAACTCCTCTACCAGTTCTAATCTCACTTCGAGCTCGATGTGGAGAAAGATTTTGACTCTGGGAGGTGAACCTATAAATCTTCCCGGTCAACCGTTCGCGCAACTAGATCATTCCGGAGTTTTCTTGGTCACTGAGACTCCTAGTGTATACGCAGTGGCTGGGGAGAATTCTGTGGTGGCGCCAGGACTCGCGGTGAAGAGAATTTGCGTGGTTGTGTTCCTGTCGCGTGAAAGAGATCACATCAGGTGCCATCTGATGGAGGACACGAAAGCTGCTTTCAAGCTTGTAATAGAACAGGTCAATATTAATATTTATTTTCAATTTTCAGATCAAATGTCAAATATCATTCTACTTTTCGGATTGTTTTTAATCCTTAAATATTGCCTGAGACTAGTCATCCATTGGTACAGGAACGTCGGCTAGGTGGCACTCGTATCGACCACGGAGCCTTAGGTTTCAGAGCCGGGAATTCACCGCTTCGAATCGATTTGGAGGACAGAGAAAGCGGATTCGTGGAACGGCAAGAGATACCGCATCGTCGTATCTGGTCTTCTACGAGGACCAGCGTGAGAAGATCATTCAGGATCGAGAAAACAGTGGGCGATCTGAGGCTCAGTTTCGAGCTACGTGTCTGCCAATGCGGTTTCGAAGAGCACACATTGTTCCTGAGAATTGACCTAGATCTGATGAAGAGGAACGGATCCAGTGGGAAGAGGACCACGAAGTCTGAGTCATCCATCGTTCTTCGTGGGAAGAATTCGAACAGGTCGACCGAATCCGTCGTTCCCAGACCGTTTAGGTATCTTCTTTCTTTTATCCCCTTTTCTTGATAGATCATATAGATCATTAATTGATTTTTCTTTCTCCCCGAAGATTTTCTAAAACGCTTAGAAAACAGTTATGTCAGTGTCTTGATCCGCCAAGCGCGCGAGGAAATGATTGGAGAATGTTAGCGCAAAGACTTCAAGTAGATCGGTGAGAGTTTATCAATTCTTTTTTTCTTCATCGAGTTAAAAGACAAAATGAAAGATTGAAGTAACTGCTGATTTTATTCAGATACGTCGATTATTTCGCGACGAAAGCCAGTCCAACGGAGCACATCTTGGATCTGTGGGAAGCGAAACATCAAGAGGCCACAGCTCTAGCAGACCTATTGAACCACTTAAGACTGATGGGACGCGTGGACGCCGCTAATGTTCTCGAAAGTCGTCTCGGTCCATGGATTTGAGTTACGAATCATCACTGCCCAATGAGATACCCATCGTTTAAGATTTTACAATGTTTTGTACATATAAAAGAATCGTCTATATTACGAATAAGAGGAATCGATATAGAATCACGTTGTATAGATGCAACGATCGTGTTTGTACATAAAGCTCGTTTATAGCAAATACCGTCTCGTTTTCCAACAACCTGTGAACAAATATTTTTCATTCTCATATTTCCTATTTCCTTCGATTTAGATTCAATAAACTCTTCCATCTTCCAAAATCCCAAGATCAGCCACTAAAACGAACAATCCAATTCCAATTCGTTTCCTATTCTTGTCCATCGAAAGTTCTCAATATCTCCAGTTTCGCAACAATGGTAGAGCGAAAGTAGATAGTAGCTCAAGACCAATTTACACCTGAATACCAAGGATTGGTGTTCCTCTAAAACGATCGTGAACCCGGTGCCAGCAGAATGCAGTCGCGAGTACATTTAGCCGGCCATTTGGCTGCCATTCGTCGTAGTATCGCGAGCATTTCAGCCCGTGCTTCTACGTATTGCGTCCAAGGATGCGTGGGATGCTCGGAACAATGGACATTATCCGGTTAAATGGAAGTGAGGGTCCTGGGATTCTGGCAGGTTTCGAGGAGGGTATATAGGTATGCGCAACCCTCATATATAGGTATGCACGCATCCCTTTGCCTTCTCCTATTCCTCTCCCCTTAAGTTCTCCCTTCGTTGCAACCCTCTTTCAAGAACCATGGAATCATGGTGGTGGACGTTTAATCACGGAGGATGCTGGTGGTAATTCCATCAGACAATGGCTATACGTCGTTCAAGATACCGGATACACCGTTTCGAGTTAATTTCGCAAATACGGATTCTATGTTCACGCGATAACTGTCTTTTTCGCTTCGAAAACTATTGAAATATGGAGGAAAGATGATCGATTGTGAAAGCTGAACGATGTCACGCCTCGATTATTGATTGTCAACTGCGGCGTGATGGAAATCCATCGGGTGAATTTTATTCTTAAAATGAAAATAATATTTAAGCTGTCAATTATCCAAACTCTATCAAAAATTTTTAACTATCGTAGAAGATCCTTTAATTCCTCCTTAAAATTTTTGACAAGATGATTCTGCATATATATATATATATATACATATCTAGATAATATCGTAACCAATTACTATTCGAAAATATCCTCTCTACAACATCCCCCAAAATCCCTCCAAAATCCCACAAACTAAAGACACCAACTTCGGACACGTTTCCCCCAAGGAATATAGTATTGTAGGAATTCATAACATCTAATTCGAAAGCCCGCGATCCCCATGTGCAGAGATTCCATCAATCCCGCCCCATATTAACCTATCCCATCCCGATTAAAATCGAGAAGGCAGAGATTTCCGCGCGACCACATCGCCGCGATAACGTCGTCGTAACGACGCGGTTATTGCAGCGCCCCGGCTCGGCCATCGTATATGCATAATCCACGTCAGAGTCGCATAAATTCCGCATCCAGAACCGTATTAATTTCCCCGACTAATCGCGATTGGGATCTACAGGCAATTACGAGAAGGATAGGCCAATCAGATTGGCGGGCCGCTTCCGTTAACGCGGAAGGTCCGGTCACGCACACGCGGCCCCCGATGTTCAACCACCCCTCTCCCTCCCCTCCCCCTTCCCTCCGCGTTCCACACCCTCGAGGGCCATCGTACGACGCGCGCAAAACCAAAGCCAACACCAACGGAAGGGTGGCCACCGGTGCCTGCCTTTATGAATTGTCCGGAGATATCGCGAATATCGAACCGAATCTGGAAATCGATCTCACCCCTCCCCTCCTCTATCCCCCATTCCGTCTGGGAAATTGAGGATTCCACGCGAATAAATTATGCAACTAATTGCCGTGACCGCGGGGAAGAGGGGAGGGGGGAAGGAGGAAGGGGAGGGCGATTATTGTTCGATCGTGTATGATTAATGTGTAAACGTTGCATGACTTTGCCTGATATATTTGACGATAGAGATTGTGTACAGATAGGATTATAGGAAATGGGGTGGTAATTGGTTGATTAGATAAGAGGAGTGTACATCGAGTTTTGAGATACTTTGGTTGTCTCTTGCGGTTGTTGGGGTTTGGCTCGCAGGATAATTTAGACAGGGATTGAGTTTTGGATTTGCGCGCTGTTTGGATTGAGGATGGGCCGAGGGGTCGGTCTTGTTAAGGGAAATTCGGGTCGATGAGTTTGATTTACTTGAATCGTGAATACGCGTGTATACGGATGTATTCGTCGAATGATTATTTTTTATATATTCTTGATTTGAATGAGAATTAACGAGTTGTATGAAAGGGGAATGTATACGTATTGAAATAAATGTAATCAGTATTTTATTATGTGTATGATATTATGTGTATATATGACGTGTGTGTGTGTGTGATATTGGAGACCACGGGTCTTCCGGATAATTACACCTAATAGAAAGGATATAAAAGAAAATTCGTTATATATAAAAAGGAATCCTTTCGAGAGGGAAAAATCCTGATGAAAAGAATATTGCGGGAAAACGAGGTTGAAATCGTATCGAGGATTATTCCTTTATTGAAAATTATTTTTTTAACGAGCATAGATAGTATTTTGAAATTTTTCGAATTCGTATTCGAGATGAAAAATATTAAATTATATTTTTGAATAAAATGCATAAAAATACATCAGATGAAAAGACGTATGAAAAGACGATTGTTTGTTACAAGTTACTTTAAGTAAAAATTTATATTTCACTGAAAAATGAGTCACGTAAATAAAAATCAAACTGATCGACTTGTTAGCCAATTATTTAATTTCTAAAAAATTAAAAAACATTGAAAAGTTATATAATGTAGAGTACTAATTCCATATTTTGGAGCTGAAATTAAAAATTTAAAAATTTAAAAGTTAAAATATCATAGAGGAAGAAAAAAGAAATGTACGATTGAAACGCGTAAACGAGTATTTGCGAGGAAACACAACAAATGAAAATAAAAAAAAAAAAGAAAAAGATACGAAAGCATTTCTAAAAGTCGGAAGGAACATTTTTTCGCTGTCGTCCGGTTTTTTGCGATGCGGAAACAAAAATCGTGACCGCATAGTTTCGAAACAATTCCGTCGTGGAATTTCACGACATCCACGGCTAAAGGGCAATAAATTTGCCGTGTATTTGCACGTTATGTTACACACACGTTTATATAATCCTCGCAAAAATTGCGAGGATACGATCGACGAATTAATTTAATAAAGGAATAATCGTCTGTTCAAAGATAAAAAGATTTTACCCTAGTAGAAGTTTTTGTATTTTGTGCATAATATTTAAAGATACATTTCAAATTTGAGAAAAATTATACCTATCATTATAATTAAAATAAAATAAATATACTATTGACAGTTTCATACTAAAATTTTAACCAAAATTTATTGAATTTTTTCATATAGCTTAATAATATTTTTATATGAATTTCTTATGAATCTAAAAAAAAATGAAAGGATAAATTCAAAATAAAGAAATAGATATTTAGATATCAATCAATTACAAGAACTCTTCCTAGCTTATAAAAATTTTTTATAACGATAGAAAAACATAATTTAATCAAAAATAATAAAAACCAATAATAAAAAAAATTCACTCAAAAGTTACTCGCACAAACTTGAAGATATCGAAACTTTCTTCCCAATATTCTAAAATTCCACCGAATACATTCGCCACTCCAGCAGCCATACCCAAAACCATCCAATATCACCAAGATCCCGAAAGCCCTCCTCAATCCTCTCCACGCACATAATCCAACCCTTCCTCCCCCTCGAGTCTCGATCTCGACTCGGTTGCGCTCGTCAGAATCTAAACACAGCCCCAATCTGCATACATTTTCTTACAACGCGTTGCCACGTAAAGTAAGATCGTAAAGCAATTCTCCATCACGTCCCCGCCTGTGACTTTACAAATTGGCGATGCAAGTCGGTTGCAAGTCACCGTGAACCAAACAGTCGAACGTAAATAGCGCGTGCTCGTCTCGAGCTGTTACACGCTCGAGGATCGTATTTATCCACCCAACACGAAGGATACCGTTGTCCGTCCACGAATTTGCGTCGTGTCCCGCGTGTCGATGCGTCTGTATCGATGATACGATGAAGCGGAGCAGTTTCCTTGGCCCGGTCGTCTATCCCCTCGACATTTGCATGGAAACGCCCAGGCTTTAATCCGCGAGCCGCCGCTGAGTTATGCGAGTCGTACGATTTGCATAACGCTCGGTCCAACGGATAAATGACGATTTCGCGGGAAATTTGGCCACCCCCTCTCCCCCAGACTGATATTAAATACGCGGTTCCGTTAATTAAGGAAACTTTACCGCCACTCGAATCGAAGGAGTGTTTAACTATTAATGTTTTTGATCGTTTTGGTATTGGTCGTCGTGAATCGAAGAGGATACAGGTAAAGTTTAATACATGATATGTATATGTCTTGTTGAGGATTCATGGAAGCTTCGTTCGATCGTGTGTTGAATCTGAAAGAATGTTAAAATGATATTAGATATATGATTTAATTCACGGATTGGATGTTTGAGATTTTTTTAGAATTTTCTTAGAAATGTTACAATATAATAAAAGAGGTTAATAGGTTAATAATTGTTATGGCAGCAATATAAATTTTTCATATTTAAATAATTGATAGTAGATATGTTTGTTCAATTTGCGACTAGAAGATTCTTAAATCATCAAGAATAGAAATAGAATGTATTAAATATTCACAGGATATCCCAATTCTTTCGATCGAGAAAACTTCGATATAAAATTCTATAATCCAAAATTGAAAATTGAATGTTATACAAATATCATTGCATCGAAGCATTGTTATAATAATAAAACGAAATAAATTATTATTTACAAAGTAATCTCAAAACTCTTTTCAATTCACTTTGACTTCATTTTAGAAAGAATTTATATTTCAAATTATAAAAATATCATAACGACTACGTGTAAAATCACTCATTTCGTTTCAGTACTACGTAACATTTTAACCGAGGTGCATACTTTTAATTTTTATTTTCT